TAGAGCTTATCATTAAATTAAAGTGATGATCCAAATAAAATAACTTTGGTGCAAATTCTTGTTTTAGACCACTACTGCCAAATGTTTAAATTCAACATGCAAATTGCAAATTGAATGAAGATAAAAGAAAAGAGTAATAATTGGAAGAAAACTTAGGTTTAAAAAAACCTATGTGTGTATCAGTAAATGGGAAAACAATATTTTTTTTGGGTTAATTAAACTTTTTCTTTACAATTTATTTTTGTGTACATTAAATCTTTAGTTTCAAATTGAATATTATAATACTTGTCTTTAATTTTCTATTCTTTTATCACTAAATATATTATGTTCCACAGAGCCGTGCTATATAGAGCTAATATTGATTTTTGAAATTAATCGTTGACATTAAAATCAATTAATATATTTATATTACACGTTCATAGTACATACATACCTAAGTATATATAGTCCAAAGTCATTATGTATAAGTATATTTATATGTATACACATTTCCAATTCAATAACTTTCTATTATTGTAATTTGTGATTATACATGATAAAAAAAATGACGGTTAACAATTGTTTATGAGTGCAATTAAAAAAAAACACTTACCTTAACTGTAAAAATACATTTTAATTTAAAAATTATTATTGAAGTTCAATAACATCAAATGCTTACATACATAATATACATATTTTATTATATATAAAATGTGTGTAGGTATTTACATTTGATCTTAGCAAATTGCTTCAATATTCTTTTGCTTTTTCACCTCAATGCGGACATTATAATATAAATACATATACGTATGTGAATGTATGGTTGTAATATTTTTTTTATGATTTAATATCTGCTATATTTCTTTTTATCTTTTAATAGAAATCTTATAAAATATTTAAAAAAAAGGGGGAATTTTGAAATTACGACGTTACGAAAACTCTTGGCTGTACCGATCAAAATATTAATTAATAAAGTTTGGTCTAACCAATGGTTTGTAATGTAGCACTAATCGCTTCAACAAGTGAAAATATTGCTTTCAAATCTATGTACCTACTATAACTATTAAAATTACTTTTATTCATACTCGTATTCGAATATATTCCAAAAATTGCCTACATTTAGGATAATCAATACATGCAATCTCTGAAATAAAACTTAAAGAAGCGTTAACATATTCCTCGAATTTAAGGGTTAATTGCTCGAGGTAAGAAAAATAAGCCATGCCATATTTTTTAATGGCATGACATTTACCGTTATTTTTCTGCATTTATAGAAATTTGAAAAGGATTGCAATTTCGGTAATATTCGTTGCTAAAAATTACAATTTTACAAATTTGAAGAGACGATAACTTGAGAGGGGGTGGTTGTGGAAGAAAAATATCTTATAACGAACTGAACTTTATATAAGTGTCTAAGAGCTGCTGAAATTTTAAACTCCTTCAATCTGACGTCTAGAAGAAAAACGATATCAAAAATTTGCAAAAGACAGATTTTAGATAACGGTAAATTTTAACGGTTATTTTATTCTTTTAAAGTTCAAATATAGTATCCGTGGTAGACGAAACCATTCACTACTTTCCCGCTTTTGCAAAATTTGAAAATTGTTTGTGGTTTCGCTGCAATAAAAAGTTAAAAAAATGACATTTTTATTAGTTTTTGTGGGCTTTAATTTTTAGAGGGGGGAAGATAGGTAAAAATTTTCTTCGACAGAAATAAGTTTCTAGTAAAGATCTATGTACATATGAAATTTCAGTTGTCTATTTTCAAGGGTGTAGAAGTTTTGTAAACATATTCACGGATGAACGGATGTACAGACGGACGAACGCACAGAAAATTAAAAACGCTCCTAATTTCATGATAATTTAATATCAATGTATTAAAAACTTGCCAAACCTTCATAAAATCGACATGTATTTACAAAATATAAATAATCCTTTTGGAAAAAATTAAATTACATTGAAACAATTTGAAAATCAATGAAATTGATTGTTTTTCCAAGATTTTTCAATTGGTCAATGAATTGGATAATCTTGGCTAAAGCATATTCGAATTTTACGACAGTTTGTTCTTAATTGATTCCTCAAAGGATAAATCGAGTATTTCGCATTTACACAAAAATCACTATGAGTGAATCATACTGTATGAAAGTGTTGCAATACAAAATTGTAATTGAAATTTTGTTTATTCATTGTTTCTTAGATATTATAAACGAAAAGTAAATTTTTAAATACGATGGCGAGTTTGAAAAATGGCAGCGATGAGTTTTAATTATAATTGGACTATATTACTGCAATAACACACCTTTTCCTTAGTGGTGCTATGTGGTGTTTTCTTGTTGTACACATATTTTGAAATAATTTTCAATCAAATTTATTAATATGTGTACATGTGTAAAATTTACATCAATATTTGTGCTTGGTTTGAATGTGTATTTGTGTATAAATTTCCGTTTCTTCGTATTTATTTTATAAAATTGGCCCTATATTACATTCACACTATTTTCTGGCAAAGTTAATATTTTAAAATTGAAGGAAAAAACATGTTTTTTTTTTTGAAAAATTGTGATTGACATCAGTCACATACTTAAGTGATAATATTTTCTTCTCTTTCATACATTTTGAGTGTGCTTTCATAACTTTAGCTAATGGTTGAATGCATCAATTACCATCTGAATATTAAAGGTCTATATATAATATGTATATAGTAGGGAAAAATTTTTATTTATGGGTTTTTATTAAAAGAAAAAATTATAAGAAAAAAAATTTTTTTTTGTGAAGAATTTAAGTTGTTTATTCTAAGTTTTTTTTTTGTGGACTTTTGTAATGTAATGACTTAATGTTGTTTGCAGTACATTGTTATTATATGTGTTATGCGTCTCAGTTATTGTCGGAATTTTCATCACGCTAACTCGGATTTTTTTTATTATTTTTTTCTGGCTTTAATATACACATGCATGTACACATATTTCTTTTTGTTTGGTACTGATAAAAAAACCTAATTTAATAGACGGCCCTAATTATTGTTTCCTCTTTATTGTATAAGTAAAGATTTTTTGGTAATAATATGTTTGTAGGGTAATAAATATTGTTTCTTTCGGTTTTAGTAGATTATTTTTGAATTTATTCAGTGTTTCTCAAATATTGTTATATGCGCACATGTAGATTAAAAATAAAATGCAGTATAAGAAATCTATATACCAATTAATGTGCAAACTCATAAAATTGCTCGTTATTTATGGTACTATACTAAAATTTATGATTTTACTCTATTCTTATCAAATTCACTGTCAGATTTTTAAGTATAATGATGAAAGTGTTATTGCGAATTTTAACAGTGAGCAGTTGATTTTTATTTTATTTATAATTTTTTTTTAAAAATTATAAAATTTTGACGAAAAATCTGATTCCATTAGATAATTTCGGTTTAATATGTGAACAGTTATTAGAATTTATCATAGATTTAATGTTAAAATTTTTCGTATTGTCAATAGCACTTAAGAGAAATTGTATCTTAAATTTGTGAATAAAAATTTACCATTTTAGAATTGATTTAAAATATTTTTTTCGAATTAAACGAAATTAATTTTTTTTTTCATTTTTGATACGAATGTTATGGAATTGAATTTTTACAAGCTAACCGATGTTAACGTTAGAAGAAAAATTAAATTCAAAAACAGCTTAGATTCTTTTCTTAGCTCTAAAAATTAAGGTTCAACATCAACCAGGACATCTCTTTAATGACATGACAATGTCAGTTAATGACAAGAGCAAGCCAGTCTTTGTATTACTGAAATTTCTTAGATTACGTTAGCTTACAAATTACTTAGATAACACATGAATTTTCTCATAATTGCAGTGTTTTTCAGAGCCTAAACACCCAGCAAAAAAGTTTTATTTAATCATAATAAAGAATTTATGAGCGGAACAGTTTAAGAACTAATTATCGTCTTATAGGTTTGAATAGAAGTCTTTCCTTTTTATTTAAATAATTATATATGTATGTACATACATATTGTATATTTGTGTATAATTGTTTTTAGTTTTATTTTAAAATTAATTAAAAATTCAGCATTTCTATTTCGATCAAGGAAATTACATATACAGTTATTAAGTGAAATGAAATATTTTAAAACTGTTTAGAAAGTTATAATTTTGCTGCAGTAAAAACTTTCATATTTTTTTAAAATTCAATTATGCATAATGATGATAGCTTTGCATAATGCAATATGAAAAAAAATTATTCTTAAGCTAATAAAAATTCTTTTAGTTTTATTCTGACCTAATAATCATGCTAATCTAAAGTAATTTAAAATTTTTATAAAAGTGTGGTAAAAATTTAACAAAAGTAAAATAAATATTAAATGAGATTAGAAAATAATTATAAATTTCTCAATTTTCACAAAGTATAATTAAAATTAAAAAGTTTCACTGACCCAAGAAAGTATTTGTTCTTTTTGTGAATAGTTTTTTACCCGCTTTTCTGACTTATGGTAAATTAAGATTAAGATTTATTTTATACTACATTTAATTTAGATGTTACTAAATTAATTTATATAAATTTTAAATTTTAAATTTGCGGAGCATATCGTCGGTTAAAAAGCAGAAAGCACTAAGTGCATTTTTTGAGAATTCGGATTTCATAGATGAATTAAATCAGAATAATATAACCTTTGTTGTGGCCAAAAATCATGCAAATCCAGAATATAGTTAGTTTATAAATCCATAAATTAAAGAGACCAATCGAATTGCACTAATTGATTAGTTTTACAATTTTACGATTTTTTCAAATTGAATTAACTCAAAACACAATTTCCTGACTTAATGCTTTCTGCTTCTTAACCGACGATATTTAGATTTCAAATATTATCTAGATTTCCTTAGTTCTTCGCCGATATTGTATACATTTATGTATGTACATGCGCTTCCTATTGAACTAAGTCATATTTATGAATAGTTAACCTTAAAATATTTAATTTAAATGTGATATTTAAAAATATTTTAATGTTTTTTTTTTATTTTAGATGTTTGGGTATCAAATCACCATTTATAGAATTCAGAGCGGATATAGAAGTTTTGGCAAATAATAGTATTCCACTTAATATAACCAAAGATGAACAAGCATTAATGCATCAAGAAGGTTTACAAAAGCTTGGTGCCTTTATTAAACCAATTGATTTAAGAAATTCTACAACTGGATATGTAATGGCAAATTTAACAAAAAAAGTGCCAACAACTCCAGCTGGTAGTAGGAGACGTGGTATGACTGAAGATCCAATTGCAGAAGAAATGGATCAAAAAGAAATAGAACTACTTGAAGAAGATCCAAATGATGCAAATCAGGGATTTCCTGGTTTGACAGATGAAGATCGAAAATTTATTGTTCCAATGGCCTTAAAAAATCCTTCAGCAGAAGCACATTTATTAACAACAGTTACAACAACGACAACTACAACACCGGCCGCTCAGCCAATGTCATTGATTTCAAATTCAGATTCATCAAATAATATTGAAGATTTAAAAAATCATATTTTAATGTTACAAAATTTAACAAAAAATGATAAAACATTCCAAAGTAAATTTGTAGTTTTTCCAAATTTACAAAAAGAGCGCAATATCACAAATCCATTTGAAAGTCCACCACCTAGTTCAATAACCCAAAAGCCTATATACTCGGCACCAGTAACAACCTTATATAAATCTGAATTTAGTAAAATGAAACATGATCGAGAAAAGTCTGATCATGACAATCATGATGATATGGCAATAGACTATTTTGGAAAAGAAAAAATAACAATTATTCCTCAAGTACTTCTATTAAATGATCAGACGCCACCAGATGATGATGATTTGGATGATTATGAAGCAGAAAGACGGAGGGCGGAAGAGCAACAAAGAAGAGATCGAATTGCATCACGGCGAAAAAATAGAAGAAAAAATGCAACTACTACTACTACAACAACGACTACAACAACGACAACGACCACAACACCCAAACCAGCACAAAAACGTAACAATTCTAAGGGTCCAAGAAATGGTGAAAGACGCAATAATAAAAAACGACAACAAAATTGTAAAAATGTTGATTCTCCAAGATGTCAACGACAGCGACGGAAACAAAATCAAATGCAATCAAATTATAATGATACACAAACGTTACCATTTGCTGCAAGTTTATCTTCCCAATTTCAGCATGCGGGGAAAAAAAGTAACAATGAAGATAGTGGTATTTCACCTGATATTGATCCAAATTGGCTTTTAAGTTCTGGTTCAACAAATAGTGATAAACAGAAATTGTCGAGAACAATTCGCAGTCATCATAAACGGAGAAATGCCGGTGTTAACATGAAATTTTCTGCACCTGGTTCTCCATACTATGATGGAGGCCCTAATAGAGATTTTATTATACCAGTTGGTAATAGTAATTTAGCTATAGTTGGCGCTAGTGGCAGTAACTCAAACACAGGATTTTTTAATAATAATCAATCTACATCAACTATAGCACCATACAAAGAACCAATTGATCTAAATCCTGAATTGTGTCATAAAGTTGATGGTATGACTTATGGTCAACAAAAATTATGTGTAATGCATACAAATATTATGCCAGCTATAAGTAGAGGTGCACGTGCTGCAATTCAGGTAATTTCGTTGATATCATAGTTCTAACAGATTCCTCGAATTTTAAATTCCTTTAAGATTCGAGGTTAAGTAAAGTTCTAGAGAGAAAACATGAAATTATAGGTTGGAAAAAACAAAATTAAAATTTTCTATAAATTATGCATTTCATGTTTTAGTAATGAATTTGCAAAATTTGTAATAATGCTTTTAAAGCGTATTCTGTCAAAATTACGATTGTAGTAGTACTGATGACATTTTAAATTTTAATTTTGCTGATTTTCCGTTACATAACTTTAAAGTGTCCATAAGTTTTGTTTTTTCCGAACAAATATCCAGGAAATTGTTTAAGATTGTTTGATTGTATTTTAATGTTTTCAAATACATATGAACAAGTTTTATATGGTTCGTATTCGTATTTTTGGAAAATTATTTTAAAAAACCATAATAAAAGTTGGTAACAAAATGAAAGTATTAGTTATATTGTAGAAATCTCAAAGAATGGGGAAAGTGAAAGCCAATTTTATTATATTTGAACATTTTACCATTGACGTTTTGAGTTTTATTTTTTATTGAATTGCAAATATTTCTTCTTTTCATCAAATCCATTATACACACATAGGATTAAAATTATTAATTACTTTTATATTGTCAACGCCTCAAGGTGTACTTATAGAAAAAGCAGAAAAATTTTTAATTACAAAAATTTATTGGTTGTAAAAATTTATTGATCATCAATTATTTAATAGTAAATTAAAGTCTAATGAATTGAGTGGAAGTAAAAACTTTTCATTGAATTTTTAATTTAACTTTTATCTATTATAAATTTTGATTTAAATTCATACATACATACGGAATTGTTGACTTTGCTTACATTTTCTTATCCGAAAAAATCTGATATGATCAAGGCATAACCGACCGTAATGTATAGTGTCTAGTTTATTGAAAGTGTTACAGAAGATTATGAAAATGCATTCTAAACATTTCTTTACAATTTTAAGGATACCAGTAAGCTTTTAGTTAACATACCTATAAAAGTGCAAATTTAACTCTTAGAAGAATTTCGCTTTGTGCCACCCGCTACCAGTTAATTTTGGTAAAAACCAGAACTCAAATATTAACTTTCAAGAAATTGCATCAATTATTTTAGTAGATATGGTTAAAAATATAAAATCGGCATGTAGCTCGATTTGTGACGCCTAATCTTTCCAAAAAATTTATTAACTTTCCTAATAAAATTTAACTCTCCATTAAATTGAACTCTCCGAATTTAAACATTAAATTTCAAAGAAATTGGTTGATTATCTCTCTTTATATACGCAAAAATGTAAAGTCGGCACTCAAAACAGTACAGTTTCTGAAGTTTGATACATACCAAAAATCGATCAATTCATAACATTGTCAAAATATACTTACATTCCGATAGGCCGACAGACAGACATCTATTTTTAAAATAGTTTACTTATATGCTTCCCTATTATGGAGAAATGCTTCCCTACAGAAACTCGACATCTGAAATTTGTGGCCAACCTCAATTATTGTTTGCAATGCGGTCGGTAAAAAACAATAAGATCCGTAATAGTTGCGTATTTGATGGATCAATAAAGGACCCATAACTTTTTGCGACTTTACCATAAAAACTAAAATTAAATAATTAATATGGTATTAAAGTACAAAATTTTTATTTCTTTTTACCTTATGGAAACAAATGATTCCCTTTTAAAATAGGCTTATATTCCGTTATCCTGCATTTTCTTCTATCGGCTGTCAAATGGGATTTTTCAAAATAAGTAAATGCCATTGAATAATTAAAAATTTCATATTAAATAATTGCATTAAATAACTTCACATTACAAAGTGTAGAAAGATTAGACCTTTAGTAACAAACACTTTACATTTGCAATTTTTGTGTTTCGAAATTTTTCCTTTAGTGATTCTCACATCACTCATCGCTATATTATAAAATAACATTAATTAAACGCAATTTTTAAAAACTTAACTAATATATTTTTGACATTACTACTTTTGACTTTTGATATATTTGACTTACTACTTTTGACTACACCTATTATGAATAAAATAATTTTTCTATTTTTAAAACAATAATAAAAACGAGTTCTTGGCGTACACAATGCTAAACATTTTTTATTTGTTTTGAAATTTTCATCACTAAGATTGTGTCATATTATTTTTTATTTATGAATGAATGACTGAAAGGCGTGTGTTTTTGTTCTTATCTTTTGATATTTTGCTGCAAGAAATTGTGTTTTATTTTCTTCAAAAATTCATAAAAATGGAAATAATAAAAATATTAATAGCAAAAAACTGGAATCATTAAAAATAAATTAAATACCTATAGTGTGCTGAAAGGAATTTGAAATTTTAAGGCAAATATTCTTTTAATATTAATATGTTAATAAAAATTCATAATTTTTTTTTTATCGTGAGAATATAAAATATACTGTTTCTACATAAAAGTGTATCCAAATTGAAGTTGAAAAGTCATTCGTTGATCATAATTCTTCAAATTTCTTTTAATTATATTGGCTACCTTTCTGATTCTTTCTTGTATTCCTGTTGTTCTCACCATCATTATACAAAAAAACACAATTTCTCTTCATAAATGTAAAATGAATAATGTTTTCTGCATTCATTAAGTTATCGATAAAATTTCGATCCAATTAATTGGAGTAACTGCATGCCAATTTTCTGCATGGCAAATAATTTCTGATTATAAAATCAAGTTTCCACAGAGTACAATTATTAAATCCAATGTTTGACTTTGAGATTTTTTAAATCCGGGTGTGCTATTTTTAGGCAGCAAAAAAAAAACATTTTAAAAATTATTTATTTTTTTTAATTTAATTTGTTTAAATTTATATTTACAATATTAAATACATACATACATTATATCTATTTTGTTTTTATTTTACATATAAAATAGAATGGCATAGAAACCAATTTCTGTTTTTTTTTTTTTACAATTTTTGCGTTAAAATTTTCCAAATTCCTTCAAGACTCTTAAAAACCATTCAATAGTTCATTTTTTTTTCGTTTTCATACACAATTTAAAAGCTTTATTTTTTATGATTTAAGTGCCCCTATAAAAATACCATTTCATTCACCAGAAATGTATTTAATTTTCATTTAAAAGATGAAAAAATATGAAAAAATAAAAATGTATGCACATAATGTACACATACAATGTAAGTATGTATGTACAACATTATTATTTAAATGAAAAAAGTTTCATTTTAAAATTTAGAATAAAATTTTTATTTTATTTTTTTAATTCTTATGTCCGATTTCCCACACAATGTGAATTGAAGTGTATGACCATGAAATCGTATTGAATATATGCATTTTTCTTTTCTGCTACTTATTGTTTTTATTGTTATTACTTTTATAATATTGAATACAAACTATTGTCCAAACAATGTGCATAATAATATGTAAAAAAAAAAAATCAAACCGAACAGAAAATGAAAAAAATATAAAAATTTAAAACGAAAAGAAGTTTCCAACTACATACATGCATACATACATTAAAAATAAATTCAAAGTTAGTAATATCGAACAAATTTCCAATTCGAATGGCACGTGAGTAAAAATGCTCACGGCTCTGATTATTTAACAAGGGTTAAAAATAAAACAATAACATCAATACAAAACAAAAAATAAAAACAAAAAGAAAAGTTTGGAAAAAAGGCAAAATAATTGGGGTGTTCTTTTAATGGTAAGGTTACACACTGTTATATTGTCATAATGGTGATTCACGTGTAATGAGTGAAGATTCTCATTTGCATATTTTTCTTTAGTTATTATTGTTATTGGCTTAATGGTTGTTCTTGTTGGTTCAGATTGTGCAAGTTGCGTTGATTTTTTTATTTATTTGTTTTTTTTTTTTTTCAATTTTTTGCTTTTTGCATTCTTTAATGCACATGCATTCATAACGTACGTATGTATTTAAAAACACATTATTACAAATACATATATGGATGAAAAATACAGTACAAGTTCAAGATATTGAAATTATTTAATTATTGAAATGTTAAACTTCATTTCAGTATTAGCTTAGCATTATGATTTTAGTTTTATTGTGATGAACAAGTTGGGAAGAGTGTACTATTGACTTTTGGATCATGATACATAAATAATATGTTCGACTATATACGACCTTTTTCGATATACGATAGAATTTGAAATTTTTACATATAGCTGTTTGGGACGAAAATGAGTTCTTGATTTGTAGTAGCACTGTATAGTACAATTGTTTATATATTTTCAAAATATGTCATTCTCATTTCCAATTTATTTTAATAATTTTTATAACAATTCCAAAAAAAATTACTTATTGATCTAAAAACTGCCTGATCCTGTTATTCGGAGATTGTAATGCAACAAATATTAATTTATTTTAATAGGAAATTGAAATATTAATTTTATAGAAATTGTTTTGTCAATCGCATTTGAGTTCTTCTGTCATTCGCATATTTTGTTTTATTATTTGAAATTCTTCTACAAACATAATTTTACTTGACTTCCAAAATGCAATAATGCGATATTAATATACAATCAGCTTATAGTTGAAGCGCTCGGCATGTCGTTTCGAGTAAATCGCGATTGAAATGTTTAATTTTTAAGAAAATTTTTAAAAGCAAAAGCGAACTTAATATCAAAATAGAGTGAAAAGATGAGTAATGTTGCATCGACTATTAATGCGCAGAGCGCCTGAATTGTGAATTGCTGGCTAGTGTATTAGTACGGTACTACTGCATATTAGAAGACAAGGATACTCTCTTGCTATACCAAAACGTTTGTATTTTAAAGCAAAAAGATTAAAATCTCTTGGTTTTAATGACGTTTATCTTGATAGTTTAGATTATTGAGGTTTTATTGTACCATCTATATACAAAATTTTAAGATCTTTTATCAGTTGTGAAGTTTTGTAACCCTCGGTTCTGCCATTTAATTATTATTATTTTTTAGTTCTTTTTGTAGACCAAGAGAGTGATAAATGTTATAGTGGTTAAACAAAGTAATTTTAACTACAATTCAGAATTAAAAATTTAAAATATATTTTTACCACTATTGATTTTCAATTAAACAATTTAAAATTTGTCCTACGCAATGGGATTTTAAACAGTCATTAAAGTTTTTTAATATTTTTTGAATAAAATCGAGAAATAAGTAAAATTATAATATTTTAAAATTGGTTTTTTACAAGTCCTAATAATGAATTTTGTATTTGCAAAATAATTCAGAAATCGACACTTAATTATTTAGAAGTTCGCCTTACAAAACTTTTTAATAGTTTAAGCGTCTTATGGGTGGACCTATTATGTTAGTGGTTATTGCCCAGGAATCATATTAATTTTATATTAATTTTTTTTATTAATTTTATAAAATTTAAGTTTAAAATTTAACTTTATTGGTACCCATAAGAAAGATATGCTATAAACTAGATTCAAGATATAAATCTTTGGAAGGATAATATTATTGGTATACTAAACAAATATTTACTTAAAAGTTTTACGACTCCTTAACAAAATTTCCATAAACAATTTATTTGTATAGAAGGGAAATAGTGAGAAATTCGACAAATTTTTTTAATTGTTTTAATAAACAAAAAATTTGAAGGTTTTATACAAAAATACCTATAGCTATAAAATATACTAGTCGCTGCGTATTCGAAAATAAAGATTATTATTTTTTTAAATATTTTATATAATTTGCATACTTAATTTAATAGTTGAATCTGACCATCTTCTTTTCCATAATTCAAATACTCATATGTACGTCAAAATTTTCCAAAAAAAATAAGCTAATGTTCCCATAAATATTTTTTATTTTTTAACGTGTTTTATTTAACCGCCTTTTATTTCCTACATAACAATAATAATTTTTACAATAAATTTCTACTTTTACATATATAAATACCTATGCCTGAGGAGCAAATAAATCAATTCACAGTGGGACATTTTCATAAAATGGCATTTATAATAACCTACAAAAAATATGAGAGACACAAAAAAAAACACATTATGTAGCAATATTAATTTCACCACAGTTACTATCAAAATAGGTTGATAATCAATAATGAAAAAGAGCTCCTGGCCTATATTTTAATTTATTCGTACAATAACAAATACATAATATACATATATGTACATATGTACATATGTAAATATGAAGTATGTATATAAAGTAAAAATGGTATGGTCTATTAATGAATTCAATCGAAAAATATTTAAATTAAAATTTGTTGATATAAAATTGCAATTGCACAGTAATTTGATTTTATAGATTTAGTTAAAAAACACAAAACAAAAAAAAGAAGAAGAGGAACAAGAAAAAAAATAATAAAAAGTAAAATATTCAACAATTACAGATAAAGTGAAATCTACTAAAAAATAACCTGCAGTTCAAAAACTCGTATTTTTCGTATTGTTTCCATTTGCAAAATAATATTGTATAATATTGTAATAATCATAAATATACATTCATATTATACATACGTTCATAACATACATACATACATTTATATATTATATAATATAAACTACAAAATAATAAAGAATAGGAAGGGTTAAAATAATTACAATAAGGGTAATAAAACTTTGAACTCACGGAGGGTTAATGTGAAAAATGATAACAGTTCTATATATTTTATGTGTATATGTTAACATGCATTCGTATATATTATACGTATTCATGTATGCATAAGGATATTATGTTAGGTTTACAGTGTTTTATGAAAAATATTATGTGCGTACATAATCTTGTGTATCACATTGTATATTATATTATCATCGTCATCATTATTGTGTTGTTACACCATGAAAACTCTCTTGTATTGTATAATTTATTTTTATATAAGCAATGATAGTTGCAAATTTATATTGTATTATTTTTATATTTAATTTAAAATTTTAATTTGTCAGCTATTTATGGTTAATTGGAATTTATTTATTCCAATCGTAAAATTATCAAAACAAGAATAAAATTAAAAGGATACTAATTAATACAATTGGAATTATTGTTTTTAGTTAATAATCGTTTTGTTTAATTCGAATATTATTGTGAATTTTAAAAAGCAATGCACTTTTTTTTTATTTCGAATTGGAAAAAAAAATAAAATATTATTTTTTCACCTTGATTCAATATTATTATTTATTTTATTTTTTTTTGTTGTCCAATAGGAATGTCAACATCAATTTAAAAATCGTAGATGGAATTGTAGTACAACTGATGATAATACAGTTTTTGGTCCAATGTCAAGTATTGGTAAGTAAGATAGAATATGTTTTAAAATTATTACGGATTTCTTTTGGAATAAATTTTAAGAACAATTGTGATAACATTAATATTTTAATATATTTTTAAAAATTTTTTGAACTGATAATTTTACACTTAAACTGAGGAAATAAATTGGGATTAGAAAATTATATTTTAGTTTCTTTATTACATCTTAATGCGAAACCTTATTGTAAACTTATTTATTAAAATTTTCCTATTTTGTGTGAGCTTTTGAAAGCCTATAACCGAGTTTTCCAATATGCTTAAAAGTTTTAAGAAAAAACTGAGTATTTTTTGTTTATTAAAGTATTTTTAGAATTTAATAAATTTCTATATTAATTTTTAATGTAATAACTGAAATTATATTTAAAACGTTACATACATAAATGAATTCTAAAAATATTCTAAAATTCAATTTAATATCTTTTGTTTTTAACATTATATTTTAAAATCTTAATAACTCTTTCTAATTTTATATAATTTTTCCTTACACTTTCAGAGAAAAATTTCTTAGAACCTATTTATACAAAATTTTTTAATGACCATGTCTTACTTGCGCGACATTAAGCTGATATTTTGTAATTTCTCAGCATTTATAATTTTATTTTTTAAAATGATCTGATAATTTCTCAATTTTTTATATGTATATATAATGTTTAAGACAAAAATGAAATTCACAATATTTTCTTGATGCAAATAATCGGATTTAAACTTCCCTAAATGTCAATAAAAGGCAAAATATTCAAATAGATTTTTGTTTCTTTGTTTTACTCAAATTTTTTGTTTTTTGTTCTTTGTCCTTTCGTTGTTTTTGCTTTCGTTCTCAAATAATTTAAAAATTTATTCTCAAGTAAAAACTAAGTGCTTCATACTAAAGCTTATACAACATCACTTATAAAAACTAAAAGAGAGCAAATAAAATCCAAGAAAATGAGCAAATATAATAAAATATCCTTGACAGGATATTCTTAACAAAATTTTGATTGAATGTGACTACACTAAAGTTATGGAAATCAATTCAAAAGATGCATGAAATATGTTTCATTTTGTTTTTTTTTGAGTATTGTTATTTTTATATAATGTGTATGTATTTGTGCTTTATAGTAACAATGACAGTAATAGCACAATGTCACAATGTCAAGATATCCATTTGTATAGTATTCAAAATGTCTTGACTTTGTTATGTTTTTATTAAAAATAAGTTATCATAATTGAGAAAAGAAAAAATTAAAGAAGTTTCTTTTAATAAAACTGAAGATATTATATTCGTTTGAAACACAACTATAGGATTTGTAAACATGATGCATTTCTGATAAATGCTATGTGATTATTAAATATTTTACAGATAAAGTTGTGAATAATCATTAGCTATTTAATTATGAATAGCATTCCTATAATAATATTTCTCTAAATAGTATTTTGAACTTGGGAACTATTAGTCAATAGTCAGCGATTTATTAAAATAATCGATAACACAATACTGAAGAAAATTAATAAAATCCTTGTATAATTTTTTCATGATACGGAGATTTCATGTATTAATTTAAAAAAAATTGTTCCAAAAATTTGAGATATTCGTAATTGAATTTTGTTGCTCTTTAACGTCACAATTATTGGAAAGCTTGAATATTACATATAATAAAATAAGATAGGCATTTTGCCGTGTTACTACGTAATCAAGTTTTTCTTCAAAATTTTCTTTTAATGAAACTTTGATTTTAGAATTTCTAAACCCTGGTATTAAAATTATATTATCAATTTAATAATGGTAATGCCAGAAATATTTGTGACAAAAGAAATTCACTGTACATAAAATGTAAAAATATGTTTATTGAAAAGATTTCACATACAATGGAAATATTTACGCTTACCATCTAAAGAACGCATTCATTATTACTAAAAGTTGTTAAAATGTATAATATATTTCATACGTAATTATGTACATAGATGCGTATATGTATATATTTAAAACAAGGCATATTATTTCATATTGAAATTGTTGTAAGAAATCACAAAGAGAAAAAAAAATATGGAACTTTGATACGAGTATTAAGAAATAAGCATAAAAGCAAGATGTAAACACCATTGAAAATAAGAAAAAGGCAAATTTCTTTCAATAATATCGAAAGAACAGAGAAAAAAACGGCAACAAAAAAATTTTAATCCTCTTAAAGGCGAACAACATTTTATGTATTTTCATCCTAATTGATGATTACAATGGGAATTCTTGTTAAATATTGCTTTTCAGAAGAAGGGCATTTAATAAAAATTATAGTTAGAAAAAATTTCGAATATATTATAATATATATATATTTCGCACATTTATACATACATATTTACATTTTACTATATATTCTATACGTTTTGTACTTATCTACTAGCATTAAATCAAACAATGCTCACTAAAAACAAAGTTCTGAAAGGAAAAATTAAAAGGACAAAGGATAAATGTTTTTATGATAAATTCTTAATTGAATTGATTAATTAGAAAGAGAATTTCTTTTCTTTCTTTTTATGAAATGAATTCTTATATTGGACTTACAATTTTCCTCTAATAGTTATAATTTCCATTTGTAGTGGGAGCTTATAAATTTTTATTAATGTGCGTGCTTTCGATATTTATTAATCCTAAATGTATGTGTACTTAGAAATAATTCAATTTTAGCAAAATCTTATTTTTTAACTTAAAGTTTTAATTGATTAGGGATGCAATACGTTTTGATTTTTCTTTTAATAACAATCTTTTCTATTTTATCATTAATATATTTGACGATTTGTGAATATAATATAAAAAGCGCGAACGCATGTGATTTAAAAATAAAATTTGTTGTTTGACATACCGAAATTTTAACTAAATTCCGGTATTCCCTATTAGCTACATTCTTATTATTCCTATTATATTCGAAATACATATCCGAAAAATACTATAAAATGGAAGGGTGTCGGACATGAACTTTCAAAATTCGAAAAAGGCGTGGTAATTTTTGGTACATTTTCATCAAATTAGAAAAAAATCATGCTTAATAGTTTCGCACTCTATTTATTTGGGCACCCATTTTTCTGGTCATGCGATACTTATACAATTCACTTTTTTCTAACTGAAAACTACTACTCTTTATATAAATGTCTCAATATGGAGCTTTGACTCTTTCAGATTCAATAGAAATCAAAATCATTTCTTGAATACCAAAAATGAGCAAAACCCGTGACTTTTTATGATTCTTATAAGTTATTGCCACAATGTCATGGAAATTCTTCTAAAGCAGCGGCAAATGTCCTTGTGGCAACTTCACTCTTGAAAACCAATTGTGAACAGGTTTTTTTTTCAAAGTGTTATAAATATTAATTATAAAAATTTAAAATCTTAAAAGCTTGTAAAGGACATATCTATAATATGTAGTAATAAATAACATTTTGTGTTTTCTCTTGTTTCTGATTTACCGTTTGCCAAATTTTGAAGAAATTAAATTTTTAAAAAATTTGGTTACCATAATGTATTTTCTAAGTTCAAAATGAACACGTATAAAAAATTCATAACAATGTTTCTTTTAATTTTATTTCTCCTGAAAGTATGCAAGATTTTTGTTGTATCATTTAAAAATAAGGTTGTAAATAAGAAGTCATTTGGTAACAATTTGTTTTTGTATTTGCTTAAAGGAAATTCGCTAATATATTCGATGCAATAAAATCGACTCTGGTCGAATTCAAATATCATGTTGTTACACACCTTATTTCATCATACATGTATACTATTTCATTGATTCGAGTGTATCTAAAATCAAAGTGTAGACTTTTTCGGTACATATTATGTATATGGTCTATATGTACACCGTATCATTTAAACGTACATAAATTATTTAGAAACTATATATAAATAAAAATCAGGAAGAAAAAGGGATCGTATAATATTATAGAGTCTGATATACAATATTGTCTAACAAAAAAAAAATTAATAATTTACCGTGAAAACATTTTCTATATTATAAAGGATCATTGTAACATTTTATTTGTGACTTTAATTTATAATATGTAATATGCGTATTATATGAAAAAATTGATATACAAACAAATACACAATTGAATTTATATATATCACAATATGTTTAAGAAGGTAAATAAAAATTAAATAGAAAATTTTCATTTTAAATTTCAATTTCTGCGCAATATAAAAATTCAATAATATTTTCATTGCCAATATATACGAAATAAGTATGCTTTATTTTTTTTTTTTAAATTTTAAGATCCACTAAAACTATTGTATCAAAGCAATTAGGTATTTTAAAAAATTAAATAGGAAAATTGCAGATACTTAGTTTAGACTAGTTATACTTCATGTTTACTTATCATTCTAGTTTATACATAACATTCCTGAGATAATCTAATTCTCCGTATAGGCTACTAATAAGTCTACAGACGGGTACACCCTTTTTATATTATATATTTTATTGTAAGAAGGTATACAACACATAATGTAAGTGGCCAAAAATCAGAAGGTTATACAATTTTATATACATAGGAAATGTGTCTAAAATTTTCTTTGATTTGATAAAATCATATACAAAACCCAAAATATTATGAATAAAAGGAGAGTGAGAGAAAACCATAAACCCCGTATATGATTTCGATTTTAATTATTTCCATCCCATTTATTGAATTTTATTGTATTATTTTGTTTTTTCCTTATTCCAAACCTATTTGTCATGGTGTTGAAACTAATACGTAAGTTTAATTTATCGTTAGGAAAAATCTCTTTTAAATACAAAATATTATAATGGGAACCTTAGATTTTCAGAAAAATGTTCTTAATAGATTTTTATATAAATATTAACATATTTACGTGCACATACACTGATAAAAATTTTATTTAAATTAAATATTTTTTTTTAAACAGAACAGACACAAACTAAATCCGAAATCACGACACCCACTTTATACCTATCTCTTTATTTTTATCCTACCTTTTTATTTTTATTTTCAATATAGCCTAA